TCCTAACAGTTCGTTGTTGTACAAGTTTAATTTTCTTATGTTTGATCCCTGTTCGGACTAATTCGTTTTCTCACAACTTTTCACGAATTTATAACCTCACATTAGTTTGACATTTGAGATTTGAAAAGGTACAAATTTAAAAATAATTGAGTTGCCTTGATTTTTCTTGTGATTTTCACTTGTTTTCTTTCAGATTACCACAGATGTTTATCGTTCAAAGATCATGAGCAAACTGGCTGTTTTCGTCCAAAACACTTTTAATAAACCCGAAAACAAAAGAAGTTTGTTGTGGTTACAACGTCACCTGTCATATGATATAACTTATTTTATGAAATTTTGGGCATACGGATTTCTAAAACTGAAAATTATGCTTATTTTCGATTATAGGATACAATTCTCGTTATTTTGATACCCCATTTTCCATTGTAGGTTATAATTTTACATCTATTCTGAACCTATGCTAAATTATGAAAATACAGTAACATTTCTTACTTAAAACTGTTTTTACCTATCTAAATCTATTTTATGACCTCTTTATTAAAGTTCTTACATACTTTCCACTTGGGTTTGCATTTATTTAAATGTTTATGGCTTATTTTTGTTCTAGGTGTCGAAATGACATCGTTTTTCACAAATTTTTCACTTATGGAAAAGTCTATAACATAAAATAAATACTGCTTTTTAGTCCTTGGAAGATGCACTAGCCAATGTCTACAGCAGATTGACACTCACCTTTATATTAAAAACAAGATTTACAAAATTTGTCGTTTGACATATGATACAATTTTTTTTCTTGTACAATGCAACTATATATTGGATCAAATCCAGTTCTAAGGATGTGAACTTGCTAAAGGTATAACACTTTAACTTTCTATAACGTTATTTGCATGTTTATTGAAAATTTAGTAAAATTTCTTCGATAGCCGTTACTGTACAAAGCTACCGTTTCAAAATTTGATGAAAATCTTTAAGTGAGGTACAGATAATGTTTTGTACTGCGGTGGTTTGTTGGTGACAAACATGTACTACATTTCTGTGCTGTTTTTTTCAAGAAATTATCGTTGGAAAATTGTTTTATTTTGAATTTCATGTGAATTTTGACATTTCCGGAGTCATTTTCCATTATATAACTTGCATTGCACAAATTTGTGATATTCTTTTAAACTAGACATAAAATAGAACTATTTGACTTAATTTTACTACTCCATGTGATTCTTTTTAAGAAAATCTATCAATTTAATAAATATTTTCAGTTTAATTGTTCATACTTGGAATTAAATATTTTAAAACGCTACTATGCTTTAAGATTTGCTTTTATTTAATGTTTTATAATTGAGCAGTATGTCATAACATGACAATACATCCTCTATGAATTTGTGCAAATCTCATACAGATGAACACCGTTAAAAATTCAATAACTATCCCAGGCGTACATGGGATGCTGCAATCTCAAACAGTATACAAGACAAGGCAAGTTAAAAAATAAAAAATTCAAAAAAACAAAAAACCAAAAAAAAATTGACCTTCAAATGCCTTACAAATTTTCGCCCCCCGCACCCCCGCAGCTCTTATCATGTACGTCCTCTTTTCAAAATGCGCCCTCCCTGTATTCAAACCCACGGGCCGCCACTGATAAAATTCTATTTGGGAAATTTCCATAGACTTTCAAAATAACAATTTTTTGTTTTAATTTAGATTTTTGCACATTATTTGATTTGTTTGCGAGGCTGATACTGTTATCGAAAAATCCTCAAATCTTGGCATCACTATTAATGATTCCTTTAAAATGAACAATGACAAGCCATTACATCTACATTCGAGATAATTCTACTGCTGACTGGTTGAATAAAATCTCATGAAAAATTACACCAATCACAGCCGGTGAAAGAAAATGTTATGTTTTAAAGTAGTCTTGATCTTTTTGTTTTAATTTTACCAAAATTTAATTGCCAACGCGAAGGAAATAAAATTACTGTTCCAAACAAAATTATTGGTCACGTGTCTCTTAATCATTTATGAAAGCTCCACAAATCCAAATCATTTTACTGTTCCACGGGAATTTGGGAAAAGGTATATAAATTTGATTTGACTATAGTTAATAAAAGTCCAATTGAACTTCCATAGGGGGCAATTCAAATTTTCCGATTTTTTATTTTATTTTTCGAATAGAAAATCGTGACTTTGTATTTCGACATGCCTTTTAATTATAACAACTTTCTTTAATAATGTCCCAACAATTGTTTTTTTTAATGAGACTACTGAATAACACAGCCATTCCAAATACACTTGCTGCATGCACCAACTTTTGGCGATGATCAAAATTTTCATTTGCAATTAATAAAAAATGTTTGTATTTGTTACACGTTTAATGTCGCACACTGTATAGTTTTTATAACCAAAGGTGGTTTTTTCTTGAAATTTTTACTTTTGCCTTATGCTTAAAATTTTCTAACACAGTAAAACTCTGTACAATTTTTTTAGATTATAATTGTTTCTAAATAAAACAATTGGAAAAATTTACTAAATTTATATTTAAACTTTACATAATGTGTATACATAATACTTATACATTTATACAATATTAAGTATCTACTACAGAAATTTTAAAATAGGTAAAAATTATCTAAAAACCATAAATATCACAAAATGGTAACAAAAAGCTTTGGTAAGTCATTTTTTTCCTACTACCAAACTTAATTATAATAAAAAAGGTGTCTTAATTATCGGGGTGCACAATTTATCACTGCAAGAGATTCATATGGACATCAAAATCGCAATGTAAGTTAAATTTTATCTCTATATCGATTTAATCCAAAAATTGAATTTACAAAATTCCTTCGATGAATTCAGTTTCCTTTAAAATAGCCTCCATATTTTAAAAGTTTTGGTTGTACTAATGATTGTGCAAAAAAAAATTGCTGCAATAAAAATTTTACAGGAACTAATTGGAAGTTTCTTACTAAAATCCAGTTAAAGATTTAGATTAAAAAAGTCTAAAAATATGGCCCAAAAATGGCACAACTTAGATTCAGTCGGTTTTGCTTTTAATAAAACTACTATACCCTCAAAGCTCACACTAGTGCAAAGAGTGACCGCAGAAATCGCCCGTTTTTTCACAATTCGCAGAGAACTAAAGAAAATAGATAAAAATATGTTTTTGGGTCTCAAATTACTCGTCATAAAAAATTAAGATGGGTATAGCTTTGTTTTTTGAAAATTTTCAAGAATCACCCCTATTTAGGAGTTGAAAAGACTCCCAAAATGAGGAATTGAATATTACCAATAAATATAAAAGCTATTAGCATGTGAATTTTTCTATCGAATGATTCTTGATACAAAGAAAGATTTATTCTCATGACTGAAATAAGCATGTTGAATTAGAAAATCCACCCTTAAGTGCGCTCAGGGGGTGGAATCATCCCCAAAAATAGAGAATATCAGAAATAATTGTAAAAATTCAAAAAAAAATATATTAAGATAATTCACATGCTAACAGTTTTTATAACAATTGGTAATAATCAAATTCTTCATTTTTGACATTTTTTCAACCCCTAAATAGGAGTGATTTTTAAAATTTTCAAAATACTAAAAACTATGCTCATTTCAGTTTTTGCACCGTCTTTTTTTAGTTTTTTTTTTAACAGCTGGCATTTCTCAGGTAACAGCTACCGAGGGTTCCCCCACTATGATTCCTTTTATAGCCCAAACAGTCGAGCCGTACCACAGCTGGCCTCAATCTGTTATTGTCAGCCAAACTAGAGAGTCTGAAAAATCCGATCGGTGCGAATTCGCACTAGTCTGACTTTAGTATGGGCAAAAGTGTGGCTGAATTTGTATTGTAGAAATAAAGTGAATTGAAATGCAAATTTCTGTTTTCTTTCACTTCCTTTCACGTGTCGAATAGACTAGAACAGCGGTATTCAAACCGTGGAACCCTGGGGTTCCCCACAACCTCTCTGGGGGTTTCGCAACTCGGTGAAAAATTCAAAATTTTGATTGAGAGTATCGATACTACAAAATTCAAAAAAAGGTTACTATGACAGCTTAACAAGAAAGAGAATTTTCTTTATCTATTTATGCAAGTGCATCCAATAAATATTTACCTTAAACTTTAAAGTCTTAGTTTAATTTTTACTTAGTGGAATATTTATTTTGTTAATCGTAGTATTTATAAATATATTACATAATTAGTAAAAAATGTGTTCCAAAATTTTTTTAGGTATGAGGGTTCCATAAAAAAAATTAAAATTTTGGCCGGGTTCCGCAAGTCGTAAAAGTTTGAAGACCGCTGGACTAGAACATTGTTTATCGAGTTATTGTTAATAATTTTTCAAATATTTTTTTTCCTTCACATTAATAATTTGATTATAACAATATTATCCATAAATATTGTTTAAATTAATATTTTTATACAAAAGAATGCAAAATAAACATGAATTTACAGAGCCTAATATTCAAGATACCGGGAAAAATCGATGGTCACTTTATCAATACTTTTTTTTAAAAATATCGACTTTGAACTTCAAAATCCTTTTCCTACTTTTTCTCTAGCCATTATTTATAAAAAATATGAATAAAAAAAAAGTCACTTTTTGAAAATATTTTTTTTCAATCTCATTTTTTATAAAAAAAATTATTTTTTTTTCAAAACTAATTGCATCATTCGATTTCCCGGAAATTTTTACCACAGTTTTGATATACATACGTTGTTTTCATTAACAAATAAAGAAGACATAAAGATTCAAAGTAGGCAAAATCACAATTCGCACTAGTGTAACCTTTAAGGTGGCCCACCCCAAGTGTGACCTTTGGGGGTTAATTAACTTTAGCATACTTAAATATGTTATTAAAAAATCATCGGTATTTTTCCAAAAAAAAAAATGTCGACAGAGAAAAACTGCTAAAAAAATGTTTCTTATATAGGAGAGAACACATATTTAATTTTGTGTTAAATAAGACGTCATTATATTAATCTGAAATCCAGGATTCATAAATATCGAAACCAACTGAACTTATTTAATATTTACTAGGTACTCTGCAGCAGTCTAATAAGTAAACGCTGTAACACATATTTCGTAACATCAAAACCCAAACAAGTTACTTTATGCACCAGGAACATTTTATTTAAAACCTTACTGAGAACGATTTGTTCGTCTCAGCAGAACGAACGTTTAGATAAGCTTTTCGTGTCATAATATAGCCACGTCTAGGCTTTAATACTGATTTATAACAACATGAAACGTTATACCTACACCGTAGGCAAACTATCGACCTCTCCCATTTCCGTGATCGTGTCGTCGTCCATTACGTAACTTATTATAAACCTCAACGATATTTGTACATTCTCGGGATTGGCTATCAACATGATCTGGGTGATTGCGGATGGCGGTAGAAAGGGGTTGAATGCTGGAAGGTCCGTCACCGATGGAGGCTGCAGTTTGAGTTTGCAAGTCTGGAAACATGCCCGCATAAAAATACATTTGTGGTTTTTTTTATATTATGAACAACGTAGAATTGTATGAATCAAAATAAACAAAGATTGGAAGCTTACGAAATGAAAAAAAATTACAATTGCTTGATTCATTCAAAGACACACCCTGTATAACTTAAATCTAACATCCAGCAACATGGTGCAGTATGACGGTTTTTAGGTCTGAATTCTTGACACGTGCACCGATTGACGTGAAATTTTAACAGTAAGTAGAAAATTGCTCAAGAAATAAAAGTTACATAGTGTCGATGTGTGCTTTCTCGGGGGGTGGCAATGAAGGCACCCATTTTAATCGCAAAAATCAATAGAGGGATGAATTCTAAGCAAAAATGTTTTATAACTTTTTTCCAAAAATTATAATTTTCCGAGTTATTTGCGATTGAAAATGTTGATTGTTCATCTAAAAAGTGCATGTTTTTCAACCATTTTTGATAAATAACTGGAAAACCTTGCGTTTTATCAAAAAACCCATATGAAGAAAAATAAAGCTTTTGAAATAACGAATCGATTCATTTTTTGTTTATTACCATAGATATAATAATAACTGAGTCATCACTCTCTAAAGGTGACTGTTTATTTTTCGGAAAGTAAAATCGAACCTTTTACCATAAAATAATGGCGAAAGAACTCATTTCTCGAAGAAAATTAATATAACCTTTTTTAAAGTGCTTGGAAAGATCTTTAAAATGATTTTTGAAAAAATTTCGTAGCTCAAAAACTCGCGGAGTTATGATGAAAATAAAATGGTCAACTCATTTTTTCGGAGAAAAACTCAACAATAAAATCTATGGCTGAACTATAAAAATAGAACCTAAGCGTAATCCATGTACAGTTGACTTTATTTAGGTACTAATAATAGGCTCTGCAAGTTCGACCGGTTTAGAATGCCTAAATTTGAAAAAAAGTTTGAAATAATGAAAAATTTTTTTTTAATTTTTAAAAAAATTTCCTTTTTTTCGAAATAACTCAAAAACTAAACAAGATACGTGAAAAATGCAAGATTTCAAAATTAAAGGTCTTTTTTTCTATAATATTTTTGCTCACATTCAATTTTTCTGTAGAGCAAAAATTAACTGATATTACGTTTTTTAGTTTGCATTTGCGTGTACGGATCGCCTTCTTTGAGCCCTTAAAACCTAAAAATCTCGAAAACGAATAGGTTAAGACCCTTCAACTATAAAGGTTCATTTGTAGCTCTTGCAATTCCCTGCAAATTGCTTTTTGGAACGATGAAAAATATTAAAAATTAAAAAAGTTATTGTGAAAAAACGAATTGTATTATACAGTGAAAATTGTCGGATCGTGTAAATGGCTTAATTTCCGATAGTTTCCGAGGCGTAATACACGCACAAACACACACACGCACATGTCCAAACAGACGAAGTCGACAGTGATGATAGTTCTTTAGATGATATGTAAATTTTTGATAATAAAGTATAATTGTATAATACAAAAATAATTTTTATTTTCCCTTTCACTAATTACATAATTTAAGTTTCGAGTTTTAAGTAATCTCGTTGAATTTAGTAATGTATCTTTAAGTATTTTAAAGCAGGTAAAAATTTTTCAATTCCTCATTAATGGTTGTTCTTAAGGGTTGAAACGTTGCAATGAATCATCAGTAATTTTATAAACAGTGATGAGTCTTTCATTCATTTTGCTTTATTTTCTGCAGTAGGGGTGGTTTTTAAGGGTTGAAACGTTGCAATAAATCATGTATTACATATTTCGAAAACAGTAAAAAATATTCAATTCTTCATTATTGCTCCGTCAAAACATTACAGAGCAGCGAAAACTAATTTCTGTTTTTTTTTCCTCATATAGGATGGAATTTAAGGGTTGAAATGTTGTTACAAATCAAAAATTATTATTCAAAACATAAAAGAATGCTTATTCTATTGACATAACACTTACATCTATGGTTTTCACGTTTTTTGCAAGAAAGGGTAGTTTTCACCCCCTAAAAACAATAAGCACACATTATGGATATGTAACTTTTGTAAAGGAGGGCGAAATGGGCTTACTCGCCAATTTTCATGAAAATCGGTGCGTGTGTCAAGAATTCGGAGGTAATACCCTATTTTTGCCGTTGTATACTGGACTAAAATAGTACCAACTATTTTCAATATTGTGATGTTTTCTGTTGTTTTTATTGTTTCCCAAACTGCGCTCTTGCCGCAAATTGATGATCGGCAGTAGTTTAAGTAAAAAAAATAAATAAATAACCCTATTATTACAATTTGTCACAAACAAATAAACGACCCTTACCTTAGGCACGACGGCTTGGAATAAATAATTGCTCAATGGTAACTCATTTCTGCTGACCGTCGTGATAACGTACACGTTAACTCCTTCTTTGGGCTTGTCCTTTGCAAGGTGGAGGGTTACGCTTATGCCATTCTTTTCGTCCAATATCTTCATCGGAGGAAAACTGCTGGGTTTGACGTTTTCGAGCTTCACGCACACGTCGTTTAACTTTATATCACATTTCCTGTTCTTCTCCGTTTTTACGTCAGTTTCGTTTTTATCTTTGGTTTCGGTACTTGCAGGAATATTCAAGGATTCCGCATCGGGCGTCTTCTCGACTTCCAACATCTTCTCGTCGCTTATATCAACGAGAAAATCGTCTCCGGAATCTTGAGTGCTTTTCGACTTGTCGGATTTAATACTCGGGTCGCCGTTTTCAGTTTTCATTTTAATCAAATAATTCAGATCTAAACTGAGAGATTCGTTTTCTTTAATTGTCGCCGTCTGATTATGTTTGGCTTCGGAGATTTTACTGAGGAGATTCATCGGTATTTTGTCTTGGCAGTTTCTAAAAGAAAAAACATAAGAAACAGCTTTTGCTTGAAATGAAAAGCATACTTGTTAAAACTGCTTAGTCTGGCGGTCTGCAAGTTTTCTTTCAACAAGTGTTCCCCCAACACATCTAGCTCTTCTAATGCCTTAAATTTGTTTTGTTTTTCTTTGTCATCGTCGCACACACTTGTTTTATCTAAATACGTTTACATTATTAGCTGAAAATACGTACTTTATACTGTACACTTACCACATTTTAATACTGATATGGGCTGTAAAACTTCTCCGGCATCTGGAATGTTAGAAGCGGTGAAAATATCACAAAGAACGTCAACGGACGATTTGGAATTTTCTGTTCCATCCTTCACGGTTGGTACCTTACAGGCAACGTTTGCAGAATTTATATCAACAGCGTCGAAATTCAACAAAACGTCCTGACTGGAATGTCGCGAAGAAGTTTGTCCCTTGAGGATTACTAAGTTGTATTTGTTAAAAGCGGACGATAGTTCGTCGCTCGTTTCCAGCACGTCACCTAGAATGGATTTGTTCTTTTAACGAAACAACCAACGCGTTTACCTAGCATCCCTTCACTATGATGGGTTTCGAGTGCTAGTTTGTTAATCGTAGGTCTTAATCGTTCACAGTTCTGATACAGCTCTTTGATAAGATCCAGTTCTGCCGACGAAGATATACCCGGTTTATAAGAATCCAACATTTCGTTTAGTAGTCTTACGTTATTTTGAACGGATTCCAATTCTGATATTCTTTTACTTTTCAGTTCTGCCCTTTTGTCATCCTAAAATGACCATGGTTTAATCACAGTAGGAATAAACTGTAAAGGTTTTTCGTTTTAAAAAACATATATTCTATTTATTAGCTTTCATATTTTTTACTCTATTTTAAAGGTAATACAAACCTAAATAAAAACCTAATAATACAAATTAAAAAATCTTAAGAAATAAAGTCAAACAATTGTCATCGAGGGTAATGATAGATTTTTGTTATAGAATTTCCTAAATTTAGAATAGATTAGGGATACAATATGTAATATGATATAAATTCAACTGGGAAATATCCTTTTATCATATTTACCATACATTAGATATTATTCCAAAGAAATTAGATAAGTCTGACCATGGGTTGTGGAACGAGATAAGAAAATTAATGGTCTTATTTACAGATTAAATAGGTATTACCTAGAAATATTTATTTTCATATCTTTCTAATTTATGTTGCTGTTTACAAATTATATTTCTTAAATCATAACTATATCTATTGTAGTTAACCATATAATGTATTACTATACTGAAAAAATACACACCCTGTAATTTTTTAACAGATTACTATATTAGAAGCTCAAGACACGGTGCCCTTTATTAACCCAAATTGAAAAACGATTTATTTGTGTGTAGAAGTTATACTGCACTAATATGTCTAACTGCATAAAAAATTAACGCACCTCTTTCACCATACTCTTTATTAACCAGTTGGCAGCTTGAACATCTTCAGGATCCTTGCTCTGCAATAACTTTTGCAATATTTTCGATTTTTCTTCGTCCTGAAAAACCGAGCTCGTCAACTTCCTCTTTGGTACGTTAACAGGTTCATAAGATGGCACGTTGGGATTTGGTATTTCCCTTATAACACCCTGTTTCCTTAACATATCGAACGCTTCTTTGATTTTCGTTTCTTTGGGGTAATCTAATGTCCACACATACAATAACTGCAAAACTTTCTGTTTTACCGTAAGAGGTGTCTGAGATCCTAAGTACTTTGGAGATACTAGCTTAATCATTTCATTTAAAAATCTAAATTTTCCTACTTCATTCTGGAAGTGACTTCCGCACTTGCTCATACAGGTATCCAAAACATTTAATGTTTGCAACACTTCTTTTTCATTGCCAGACGGAAGTTTTGCTGCGATAACTTTAACACCGATATGAGCCCCATCTCGTTCTTTGTTAATTAATGTGCAAAAAGCTTCTACTGCGGCAGTATCGAAATTAAGATTTTTTGAATTTGTGGCTTTAACTATAAAAACAAGGTAAACAGAAAATAACAACTTTAATAAAATACAGCTTTTACTTACGTAGTAGAGCTTCTAGGCTTGTTTGAGTAACAAGATCCATTTTTATAATTAAATCAAGGTATTACTTTCCTCTTATTAAATTATTTATCACTGTATTCACGCTACCTGCCATAATTAAATGTCATTTCATTTCTGACATTTCGACCTACGATTAATGTGTCTATCTCTCTTTAATCTTTGGCCCTAAAGTCTGCTAAAGTCTTTCATTCTAGGGACTTTACTATTGTTGTCAATGGCTTCTTTTATCCACATACTTCTATAGAAGTATGTGCTTTTATCACTGATTTTCCCTAAGTGATTTCCTCAGGGAGACTAGAGACTAAACTAGTCTCCCTGGATTTTCTGATCATGACTTTTAAAGATACAAGGCTATTATTATTTGATTGGGTTCCGTTTTGTAATTAGCTTCAGTAAAACGCACTACGCGCCATTATTCCATGGCCAGAAATTGGCCTCAATGATTTGGGATCGAGGGGGATTATCCCTCTTTATCCTGCCTCATCTCGTGTAGGCCTGGACAGCCTTCGTAGGTGGGCCCCATCCGTCGTCTATCCCGACCGCAAATGCGGCCGGTGTAGGCGCTTTGTGGGACCTCCTTTTGTCCTGGCTGGACCCCGCCGGCTAGGGCCCTTTTTCTGGCGCTCTTCTTGCTTCGCCGGCTCGTCTGTGTAAACCCCGGGGGTGGTGTCATGTTTATGTGTGGTATGGTTGGGTAGAGTAGTGCGGCTATGCAGTCTGGGATGCGCTTTGCTAAGGTGGCCCTTATCAACTCGACCGCAGTATACAGTTTTCTTCAAATGAATGATCCTAATTTAAATTTAAAGCACAGAGATTATACAAATTTCAACGCGCATGATCAACTCTAAACGCTATCATTATTAATCAAAGGAGCCGACCATATATGTAATACTACTAGTATTATACAGTGTAGGAAAGTACCGATGGTCTATCAGAAGTTACGTGAGAGTGATAAAGTAAGCTTTAGAAATTCATGTGATAGATAAGGATGGCTATAATGAAGGCGTCTAATAGTCAACGCCCATTTCGCCCTTCCACAAATAAGTGGATCTTATTTGTGGAAGGGCGAAACGGGCGGTGACAAAGAGACGCCTTCATTATAGCCATCCTTCTCTATCGCATGGATTTCTATGGCTTACTTTATCGCTCTCACGTAACTTCAGATAGACCATCGGTACTTTCTTACCCTGTATATATGGAGCCGACGTTAAGCACGACCAACCGGACCAACTGCATAATCTGTGTATAAGATGCCTTCTAAAGAAGAAGACGAAGAGTAGTTCTTCCATAATCTTGGAGAGAATGACAGTTCATGTCAGGGGTTGTGATATTTTTCCATTTTAATTATTATAGATTATTACTACTATTAACTATTTCACTAATTTTTCTATTTATTTAACGTCTCCAGTGAACGTGTGGCTCTTTTTCTATATTTATTTAGGATTATTTTTCCATACCACTAACTCAATTATTTTAATGAGTGAGGTTAAATATGAAAGATATATGATCTTCAATTTGGCTTTGATAACATTTTCTCTGTAAAAAATATTAAATCTACATTTATTAATATTCACTATGGCTGCAAATACTTCTGTTAATGTACCTCAAGAGGACATTCCAGTTCGAGATGATATGGTATGATAATTTTCATTAAACATTTAAAAGATTACTTATAATTTTTTTCACAGATTGAAACTGCAATAAAATTTCTAGAAAATCCAAATGTTAAAAATACTCCTTTGGCTCAAAAACAAACATTTTTGCAACGTAAAGGCTTGACTGATCAGGAAATTCAAATAGCTTGTGAAAAATCGGGCGCTTATGCTCATCATGAACAACAAAATGGTGTTACACCATCATTACCTCCATTATCTAGTACAGTTACCAATTATAGATCACACGGTGTGGCACAATTAAGTTTTTTCGATAGAATAAGAGAAATAGTGCACAATATTGCAATTTTTAGTATTGTCGCTTACGTTATTCATAAATTTTATCAGGTAAGTTTATAGTTTACGTACATTGATGACTTTACTTTGTCTATATAAAACTTTCAAAATATTGATGTGATTCCACAAGCACATAGATTTTAGTACTTAAAATGTAAAATAATATTTTATTTATTTTTAGCAATATGTAGCTCCATTTTTATTTGGGAAAAAGAAAAAAACAGTAGAGGAGAGTGTGCAGGAGATGAACAAAAATATGAAATCGTCTATTGCAGAACTAAAAGATGATCTGAAAAGTGTAAAAGTAGAAGTCGATAAATTAAGCCAAAGTTCAGAAAATAATACAACTAGACAATTAGTAGAATTAAAATCTGAAATTACTAGTGTCAAGGGGCTTCTCTTAGGGAGGTAAGTTATTGGCTTAAGCCAGTCGATGTTTACATGTGTAATATCCAAAAAGATATGCGTTGATGCACCTTGACCTCTGACTTAGCATTAATTAACAGTGTTAAAATACTTAAATGTGACATTTTAGGAAACAATTTCCATCAGTAGCAAATAGCCCTGTAGTTCCCCCTTCGATACCAGCTTGGCAAATGTCCAGCGTAGGTCTCGACGGCAATGACGATCATGACGGTGACGGAGAAGAGAGAAAGGAAGACCTTTTAGAGGTTGGATCTGGTTCAGGTTCTTCAGAGCCAGAGCACGGGATGAAAACTAGTGAATCTAGTTTAGAAATCATGTAAATATATACTTTATTATTCTATGTGCATCGATCAGGAATTTTCTAAATTGTATTTTGGGAATTTTAGAGCATATTTATACAATAAAGTTGGTGAATAGAAACACATCTTTGTTATAGTGCAGAAGCTCAAAATTATTTCTCTTTTCCAGAACACTCGAAGACCATTATTAAAACATTTTATGTGATGTAATGTAAACACTTGCAATTCGTTCCGATAATATGTAATCTAATAATTCCGTTTTCCAGATATTCATCAAGGGATTGTGATTCGGAGTCTTGCCATAGTAAGAAAAGTCACAAGGAGGATATCGACAAAGATCGACTCGATTGCTAAGAGAAGTATATTTTATTTACCTGGAATTTTGTGCGTATTTTCTGTTACTTATTGTTGTCAGGAAATGTATTTTAAATGAGGTTTAGATTGGGATTTGATGATAAATTTACTTTTTATTGTTTTACATATTTGTATCAAATTGGCAAATATATTTGTTTTATATTATTATTCAGATTTTGTATATTTTAACCTTTTTATTGCATTTGTATCTTGTTTGTCGAGTTGATTCCTTTTTTGTGTATTTGTGTATACTGGGTGTCCCACCGGGAATCGCCGCTATCGATATCTCGGAAGGTACTGATCCGATAAATCTGAAAATTTGGCAACCTAGCAAAGGCGTGAGGGCCAATATGACTAAAATATTTACAATTTTATAGCACTTCTGTTTTATAAGGGAAGTCGACGTTAACTTTCCTATTTTAAATAGGACACCCTATATATTATTGCAATTTCGGATTCTACGTGAAATTTGAGGGTCACTTTATTAAATGTTCCCTATATCTAGAAGTTATAGATTTTGAAATATTAATTTTTGACAGACGTAAAGGTCAGCGGAGTTGCTAGTAACTCTTTTCAGGAGTGTGGTATCGAGTGGATTTTTGATACCTTTAAAGGGCATAGGCAACACTAAATCATGGTATACCAACAAATTAAAACATTTAATACTAGGTGCTTCATTTTTGCTGTTACATTTCGATAACTTCAAACAGCCATAACGTTAACTTAAATGGAACACCCTGTATTTTACTCTGTCGTCTGCAGATTGAAATTTCGGTTCAAGCCATATAAGCATTGTTAGGGTTGCCGTTACTAGTTTTAAAGATATTTGCAATTTTCTATTTGGACAGTTTTTCTCGTATCGGACCTGTTATCAAATTGGCCACGACCAGAAAGATTCCAAAAACAATTGAAATAACTTGACATTTGTCGAGTTAGTTGTCAAATTATTGTTGTGTCTGTAATAGTTTTTGCCGAAAATTTAAATAAAAATGCCTGGGGATCATTTAAATTATACTATATAATGAAGATTATTTTTAAATTGCTATTTATGGACAATGTCACAAAATAGTTTCAAGAACATGTAGAGAATTTGCTGCTCGATATCCAGAAAAACGACGACCTTTCGCTACTTGCTCCCTGTGTACTTATTATTTGCCGATATTAACATATTTCCAGTTTTATTTGTAAGTTATGAATATTTCAAAATAGGGTCATTACCTTAGGTTCCAAAAATTGAATTTGCTATTATTTTTCAGTAGTAAAAGTTTATATATTTACTTTCATCATCTTACTTTTCAGAAAATATGGATCACAAAAATAAAATTTAAACATTTTTTGTCCTATCTAAAATTATTCTCTCGCTGCGCAATCGAGACATAAACAATACACAGAAAACGATTTGGCAATTTTGACATGATTCATGACGGTTTTGTTTTGATAGTTTATAATTTGAGGTTATTATACAAACCTAATAGATCTGTGTTATTTATTATTGTATAGTGAGTGTAGCAGTAATAACTGATAAGTATATTGTAATTTTTCATGTTAATTAAAATTATAATAAGCAAATATAACGCACAAAAACACCACCGGTCACCAACACAACAGTAAATAAGTAAATAAATGCTAAAAATGACAGAAACAGAAAATTGACTGTTTTAGCAATGTCAGAATAGCCAACTTAACGTGTTATACCAACTTAAATTTAAAGCGTAATGCGCATGCGACATAGTTGACGTCACANAAAATTATTCTCTCGCTGCGTAATCATAAACAATACACAGGAAACGATTTGACAATTTTGACAATTTGACATGATTCATGACGGTTTTGTTTTGATAGTTTATAATTTGAGGTTATTATACAAACCTAATAGATCTGTGTTATTTATTATTGTATAGTGAGTGTAGCAGTAATAACTGATAAGTATATTGTAATTTTTCATGTTAATTAAAATTATAATAAGCAAATATAACGCACAAAAACACCACCGGTCACCAACACAACAGTAAATAAGTAAATAAATGCTAAAAATGACAGAAACAGAAAATTGACTGTTTTAGCAATGTCAGAATAGCCAACTTAACGTGTTATACCAACTTAAATTTAAAGCGTAATGCGCATGCGACATAGTTGACGTCACAACAACAAAAGGACGGAAAATGTTCATATTTCAAAGTTGTATATCTCAGTTAATATTAGTAAAAACAAAATTTTGAAAAAAGCTATATTAATTTTGAAACGCAGAATTCAAATAAATAAGAAAAAAATATGTGAAACAACCCTATAAGTATTTCTGGATTCTAAAACGACTAGCATTGGTAAATTATTCTAGTAGCTGATTTGAAATTTTTATACAGGGTGTAACTTTAAGTGGGGGTCAGAGATTTTAGAAGTAATAGTACACGATCCCCAAAATATTAACCAATATTTTTTTTTAAATAAAATAAATAAAAAGGGTAACTAAAAAACATGTTTCTAGTTAAATTTTATTCTAATATAATTTACAATTTCACTGTAAAAGTCATTATTAGGTACTTCTTGTTCCAAGTTATCTTATTTTCCATAAATACCAGAGTATGGTAATAATTTAATGAAAAATATTCTACAAGTTCTTATGTACAGAGTAGTTTAAAAAGAACTAACAGTTGATATAACTTGTATCTCTACAATAATGATGTTTAATTACATTTAAAACAGGTTAAAAACTTGTTCTATTTAAACAAAAAAAAAAAAGTTATGAATAAATGTGTAACAAATTTCCTATAAAGATTTTGCCAAAATATTAAAAATAAATAATAATCACTACTTTTCTATACAGTTTTTGTGTGAGAACAAAGCTCACGTTTTCTAAAAATGTTGACATGTTTACATTTTGTACAAATATTTACAGAAAAAAAAATGTTTATGATTTTGTGCTATTTTGGCAAGTACAAACAGGATGAACAAATGGCATAATTTGTACCTGCATAATGCGATTTTAAGTACAACTAAAAATAGAAACCGTTACTTATCGTATTTTCCTAACAAATTTATACTACAACTTATGTACACATGCAACGTGTTATTATATTTTTAATATATCCACTAATAGTTAAAAAATAACTACCGTTGGGTACATTAAAAATGAAAACTAAAAATTTTCTGATGCAGAAAATTTTTAACAACCTACAATTACAAAATAACCTACTCTAAAACATTTACTACATGTTCAATTAACACGACTTTACAGTCAATAAATATTATACATCATAACAGGTCGAAAGCTCTGCTGTTTAAAAATAAAACTGGCAAGTCGAAACAAAAATGTGACTCACGTATTTCCCGCAAACGCTTCCTCGAATTTATTACCTATTTCAAATTTTTAAGGAACAAACATTATTAGGAAACTAATGAGATATAAATTTGAAACAAGTAAATAAAAAAATTTAAAATAACCTTGCCACTTATTTAAATTTTGCGATTATAGGAGGAAAGTTAAATAATAAAATGTTTTATACAGGGTGAATCATTTAACATCAGACCTGGGAGACCTTTGAAAATTATCAACGGTACCCTCGCATAAAATATAAATATAATAAAACCACATTGGATTAAAATATACGTAATACATAAAAACTGCACAGAGCTTAAAGTTGATAAATATCTTCTCAATAAAACAAAAATATATTATTCAAATAAAAATTCTTGTTCAATCATCAGCTAATAACGGTACAAAAATATGTCTTTGTCTCATTCAAAGCACACCTACAGAAATCTTCCAAGAGAATGTTAATCTACATCTTTGGTTTTATAAAATCGTGTACATTTTAATTAGAGTAATACACTTCAAAATAGCAAAAATTCAAGCAGGTACAAATCGAAGTTTTACGTCTCGTAAACTATATTTTGAATCTAGGTGTGATGTTACTTTTCAAATTAAATGAGAATTTTTATTTACACTCGTACAACCAATTTAGTATACAATTGTTCCTCACCCTACCGCTCAACAAAACGATAACAAAACTAGCCAATAAACGCAAAATAAATAATACGAAAATAAATTAAATGGTGAACACAACAGTGAATAAGTCTTTTTTGAAGTGCAACTCTTACATTTCCAATATGCAAACAAAAGTAGAACCTTAACGGAATAAAACAGAAAATAGTTAAAATACGTACATCGCAAACAATTTAGTAACAAATACTTCTTGTAGACGATTGGAAGATGGAACATTAAGAAAGACATCCAAGATCACTACATCTGACAACCTGTATTTAACGAGACGATTACTAGTTTATTTCGTGACTAGATTCGTGAATATACGTTGCGCCACAGTTAAATAAAAAAATTGTATCGCTTTTCACTTTGATTTTGTATTCTAGCAACTCTCAGAAAATTATCAGAGTTCAAGTGACAAAAAAATGTTTGAAAATTGTGGCGCAACATATAAACAAAACTTGATATAGTGCTAGTTGTTAATTTTCTTATACATGTGATAATTAAAATTCAAATGTGTTAATTTTCATGGAAAACTTCATTTTTAGTCAATTTATGATAATGGATTGTTTAAAATACAGGGTGTTTCGCATAAGAACCTACACAGATCACGGGAATTCAGGGGAACCCAAAATATGGTGATTTAACGCAACTTATCTTTATACTAAGCTGCACCCATGAGAAATTATAGGCCTTGAAAGTGGGGTTTCAAATTTGAAAAAAAATCAATATCTTAGTTATACTTGAAATTAGAAAAACCAAAGAGTGACCAAAAAAACCTGTGATTTTCGCCCGTTTTTTCACAATTCGCAGAGAATTAAAAAATATACAATGTTTTTGGTCGCAAATTACTTGTAAAAAACTGAAATGAGCATAGCTTTTAGTATTTTGAAAATTTTAAAAATCACCCCTACTTAGGGTTTGAAAAAATGACAAAAATGAAGAATTTGAATATTGCCAATTGATATAAAAACTATTAGCATGTGAATTATTTTAATTTTTTTTTGGAATTTTTACAATTATTTCTGATATTTTCTATTTTTGGGGATGATTCCACCCCCTGAGCGCGCTTAAGGGTGGATGTTCTAATTCAACATGCTTATTTCAATGAGAATAAATCTTTCTGTGTATCTAGAATCATTCCATAGAAAAATTCACATGCTAATAGTTTTTATATTTATTGGTAATATTCAATTCTTCATTTTGGGCGTCTTTTCAACCCCTATATAGGGGCGATTTTTGAAAATGTTCAAGAAACAAAAAGCTATGCTCATCTTAATTTTTTACAAAGAGTAATTTGAGACCAAAAACATATTTTTATCTATTTTCTTTAGTTCTCTGCAAATTATGAAAAAACAAGTGATTTCTAAGGTCACTCTTTGGCACACGGTGTGAATGTACGTACCAAGAGCATTAATTGGCAGTAAGTAGTAGTTAAAATGAATTTTTTAACTCTTTGGTGGACTTAAAAAATTTAAACTTTAATTTATAAGGAATTTAAATCTAAAACTTTTCTTACTCTTGCTAGTTTTCAAAAACCTTTTATCGTTTTCAACAAAAACACAAATAACTAATAATAGATATTGTAGCTGTGTTATTTAAAATTATCAAAAGTTCAAAATTTGGGTATAAATTTAAACGTCAAACTTGCCGATCAGGAAAAAAGTCATTTAATTTTAATTGTTTGCTAAGTGTTTTGAAAATGGCCGGGAAGTCTTCATTGAGTGAACAAGTTGACATGCTATTAGTGTTAGGTTTCTGTGAAGGAAACTACAGACGAGAAGAAGAACTAATAATCCCCCATAAAGAAACATTTTCCAATGTTGAAAGATGGTCCCTCGAGAAACAGGTAAATTTTTCAGTAACACTCGAGAACGTGCTATTGCAATCAGGTCACAAGACGAGGAACTTATTTTGAATACAATTGAAGATGATCCACATATTAGTACTAGAATTCTATCTCGACAAACTAGTATATCGCAAACTTCTGTGCATCGAGTGATCAGAGGTAATCTGCTGCACCCATATCATATCCAAAAAGTGCAAGAATTGTTACCGAATGATTTGGTTAAACGAGTGAATTTCTGTCAATTTATTTTACATCGAGGCATTAATTTTCAAAAGAAAATTCTCTTTACTGATGACGTATTACAAATTTACATAACTATTATGAGTATTCCGATGTAAACCCTCATTCAGTAACTCTTCGACATTTTTAATGCAAGTTTAAAATAAATGTTTGGATCGGTGTTATTGATTGGTATTTAATTGGTCCAGTTATTTTACAGAATCGACTAAATGGTGAAACTTATTCAGAATTCCTCCAAAACACTCTCCCAGATCTGTTTGACGAGGTGCCACTGCAACTCAGACTGGAACATCGATTTATGTGTGGTTGAGCACCCCCTCATTTTAGTAACATTGTTAGAGACTTTTTAAACCACCAGTATCCAAATGAATGGATTGGAAGAGGAAATAATTGGCCACAAGTTTGGCCTGCACGATCACCAGACCTCAACAAATATGACTTCTTTGTTTGGGAAACGTTAAAAGAATGTGTATTTCTCGCCAGTTTCGTATTGAGCAGAATTGCGGTGTCGCATTACAGATAAATGCACGTTCATTAGAACCAATCAACAACTACAGTAGACTTCAATTTTTGACGAAGAATAAACCCCAATCATCAAGTTTGATTTTTAAATTCATAGCCAACTTTTGGATTTTCGATTAATTGAAATAACAGCTACAATATGTATTATTAGTTATTCATGTTTATTCTCGCTTTCCCACTCCGTGCACACGTGTTCAGTTTATGATGTGATGTTTCGCACGAATTCGACGTATAACTAGAAATTATTATTTTGTGTTACACAGTGTTACAGTGCATATTTATATTGTGTGTTCGTTGTATCTATGGAAACTTAACAGACTTTACTCTGTCATCCAAACAAAGTAAAACTGATTCTTTTGGATTTAGAATTTAGAAGTGGATAGTGATGACGTTCAAGAACTGCTGGATTCACACAATCAAGAACTGACAATTGATGAACTCATAGAAATGCGTGAGCAAGAGCAAGACATTGAAGAACCTGATTTTTTAGACCCAGTTCAATTAGAAGATCACATGACGGTGGGAATCTTGACGGAAGGCCTCAATCTAATTGGAAAAGGGTTACAAATTTTGGAAAACATAGACTCCAATGAAGAGCGCATTTCTGCTACAAAACAGGGAATAAGAAAATTATTAGCGTGCTACGAAGAAATTTTGCGTGAGAAGAAAAAATCTTAGATACGTCAGACGACTTTGTTAGATCTTATAAAGCCTTCTGTATAAAAATAACTTCAGTTTACGGTTTTGCAGTTCATAATATAATTTTTTGTATTAATTTAAGATTTTATTACACATTTTTCTCTCAAATTTGTTTTTTTTTCAGTCTTCCAATTATAGTCCGTACTACGACTTACGCGAATTCGACATACACGGTTATCGCTCGGTCCCACCTATCGCAAGTTCAGGGTATTACTGTATAAAGGTAAGCATTAAATCACCATATTTTGGGTTCTTGCTGTGTTGGTTCTTTGTGAAACACCCTGTATATTTTAAAAACCAATTTATTAAATTTGAGACGTGGGGGGGAAAATTATTTGTAAATATAAAAACGCCCTGTACAAAACGAGTCTATAGAAGATACTTTCATAATTTAATCCGTTCTGATATTATATAGACTATATTTTTGAAAAATAAAAGGGCATTTGAAATAATTTGAACCGTACTGCGAGTCCTTTGCTATAAGTTTAAAAACAAATTGGTTTTTATAATCGTAGCGTTAATAAAAAAAAAACATAAATAAATTAATATTAAGCCAACAAAATTAGAAATGTGTCAGTGTGGTACGTGAAAAAATTAAGCATTGTGTATGTTTAATTATTTCCAATAAACTGTTATTTTGTGGAATTTATATCATGTGATCTCATCTAATTTATATGTATGCAATTAAGGTATTATTTATAAACGCAGTAACCGCTAACCACAAAATAATTACTAACTTGTATGCGGGGTGTAAAAAAATTGAGGATCACTTACGTTTGCTCAAAAAATAAAAAAACGATCTTTCTATTCAAATCTCACGACAATCGTAAAGGTACCTTTTATTTTGTACGAAACACTTGGTCAAAACAGTATTTTGCACAATTTAATAAATTCGAGTTCTTCAGGTTTTCAGGAAAGAGAAAACGCCACAAAAAGAAATTAAATTTTTGAAAAATCTTTTATTATCGCTAAATTATGTACAAATAATTTAAACAATCAAATTTACATGGTACTCTAAGAATGATCACTAACACAGTTAAACTTGTACTATGAAAAAATAGCACTAATCTCTAAAGAAAAAAAAACAAAAAACCTTAGAACCATTACTCTAATTAGAAAGATAGACAAAATTATTGCTCAATCATATTTACAATTTTTAAGGACAACTCTGTTTAAAAGATACACCACAAATTAAAATAAGAAAATAGCACTCTCCATTTACAATCAACGGATAAAAAATGGAGACTGAACAGACGACCAAATCCTTCGTTTTAAAAAGACGATACAAGTGGGTCACTTATATTTTCTATTACTTAGCTGTTGGAAGTATAATATACAATAAAAACAAAATAATCTAAAATTACAATATTTCTATCCAACTTTCTTGAAGAAATGGCTTCTTCTATATAAATTTTTTAATCATTACAGTTTTCTCTCGACTTTAATTACACATTCTTTGAGGTATGCGGGATTTGAATTTTTTACCACTCTCTTTAGTGGAAGAATCAATTTCTTGTACTTGCGTAACGATATTGTCAATACAATTTTCAACTTGATCGATTACTTTAAAATCGTTTGTCGAGTCGTTTCTCGGTATTTTCGAGAAGCCGCTGTTAACGGGTAAATCGCTTCTGTTACGGCTGAAATTAACAACGGCTGAATAGCAATAAGGTATCGAATAACTCACCTTTCTACCAAAGCCTGTGCAAGTGGAGGTTTCTCGACAGGACAGACCTAACATCCGCCGTGAAACGCAGAGCATCGAGCACAGGAAGTAGATTGAGCAATGCTATGTCCGTGGGGTCCGAGAACCACGATTTTATCGGTATTGCATTGTCTGCAAACAAAACAAAAATAGTTTTGTTGAAAATTGTACAATTTTTAGGAAGAATTTTTCAACAAAAGTTGTTAGAGATCTCGTTTGCTATAATAATAAACTTTATAATTTCTTTTTTTATTGTCTTGGTAATAAATTTAGTTTTTTTAATAGCATCATATAATTTTTATTGCTTCTTTCAACAGAACGTAAGATTGAAAATAGTAGCAAGTCGGTTTTTACAATATGAGATATGTTTAAATGAAGAGTGATATAAACATTTGAACTTCAATTTGGCAAGATTGGCAGAAGTACGATACTTCTGCGGCAGAGGGGGTGGCATATTATAACTTAATATGTCGCATCTTCTTGGCTTTTGGTAATTCTAAATTCGCTTCAACGGCACCTTAAATTTGTCTGCGTTTACTTTAACGGTAAATACTCACCAGGATAGGCTCGATATGCTCCCGGACTGTTATCCAGAATGAATACGCTGGAGAGATCATTGCAAATGGCACTCAGATCCTTGGTGTACGATCCCAGATCTGGAGTACAATGCTGCCTGTAGAACCGCCTCTGCAGGATTCCCCTTCCGGCGTCCAACTTGTCAGCAACTGCCGCACCGTATATTTCCATGCTGGCCGTGAATACAACCAGCTCGTACCACTGGGAAACCTAAAACAGAACGGCAATATTTAAATCCGCCCACGCTGTAAAATTGATTAGCGTGTAAAGTGACTGGTTCCTGTATGCGTCACCGATACTTACTATATCTAGGAAAAAATCCACGTGGGGTCTCTTATGAACGAAGAACCTCACAGGATGTCTGTCTATAACAACCTTAAGTACGAAATCTGGCGGCGTTCCCGGCCTAACCGTCTGTCTAACCACACCGTCATGGTGCGAATGTATCAAAGTCTCGTCCAAATCAAGAACCAGGACTTTTCGTTTCACTATACCTGAAAATTATAGCACCTCAAAACAACAAAATACAAGACAAAATACAAATGTCTGTCTTATATAAACACTATTCCCTTTTGCATTCAACACTTTGTCAGTCCAAAAATTAAATGCTTTCTTTTTTATTTGTAGATTAAGAGCTATGAAAAGGAAATATAATTTTAAGGAATTCTATTATTGTATAACAATTTACTTTAATGAGTAAATAAATAGTCATACTGTGTATTTGAAAATGTTTGTTTAAATGCATCTTCATTAAATAAAAAAAAATTCTACAAATATTTTACAGAAAACATTGCCTATATTTAAAATAATCCATATTGATATTGTAATTAAAGTAAAGTAATGTATTATCTAAGATTTACTCCGATAAGGCAACAAAATAGAAGTAATTCATAACTAATATCATGGATTTTCATACTAACGATGATTAAACAAAATGTATGTAAAAGATAATATTTGATGTCACATCTTTATCTTAATTTATAACAAATTTTATTGATATCCTAATCTACATTTAATTCATAATAAAGCTCTTTATTATCTATATAAGAAAGCTTAATACTTGTATAATAAAAAATGTTAAAGTATAATTAGATTTTATTGTATGTATATGTCCAAATAATAATTGCTAATATATAGAAGTCATTTTCATTTTAATTTTTATACAGCTAATTGTGTACTAATAAAATACATATTTCTACATATTTTGAAGTATACTTACTTAGCCTATGCCTTGATAAGGGAGACAGAGGAAACAAATCATATTTAACAGACTGATGTTGTATAATCTGTAAATAAATAAATCTTATTGAAGCATGTAAATAATCACATCATAACCCCAAAACTTTGGATTAGTGCCAAAATATTATTAGCCAAAACTGCTAACAGACATCTTTTGCTTGATCTAAACTTTAATATATCTATATTAATCTCCATAAAAAATAAAAATTGTTACAGTACAAGCTTTGTTATTGTAAAATGTTACTGTCAAAACACATTTGATAAAAATGCAATTTTAAAACAAAGTTTCCTATCGTATTCCATACAATTTTTAACAACAATGTTAAAAAAAAATGTATTTAGACAATACTTACGGCTCGAGTTTGTTTTTTCAATGTATAACATAAGCATGTCCAAACTCTTGATGCTATAAGCAAAAATGCTCGTAGTCCCATCTGTAACTGCTTCCACATCGGAAACAGCGTTTGGTGTACTACTCTCGACACAATTTCAGTATATTGCATTAATTACATATAATTTTCACCTGTTTTTTAATGCGTTTGACTTATCACATTTTAGTTTATTACCCACAATCACTTGTAAACCGCCATTAAAAAAATCGACCCAGTCGGTTTTGACAGCTTAGAGCAAATGACAGAAGCGCATGCGTAGGACTTGAATTGTTTTGGAAAGCAAAATACACGAGGTGGATCCAAATGTTACTCTGGGCACAAAGGAGTGTTCCAACACTTTCAACTTGTTAAAACAACAAATATATTTTTAATGTATTCTGGAATAATAATTACTAAAACTAAAATCCGTAAATCAATTTATAAAGTTTCTAAGGTCAATTTCCGATTTCCATAATTTATCCAAAACTTCAGTCTACTGACAACGTGCTTCAGGAGATTATGCAACGCGATTTGTTAAAAATGGTNTCTGTTGAGTTTGATAGAGAAATATTAACTAATACCGGAGCTACAGGAAAAAATAGTTTATTATTTTTAAATTTCAACGCCCTGTATCTTGAAAATGAGCCGCTTTAGGACATATGTTTATTAAGTAAACTGCACTTATTTTTGGATTTTTTACATGCCATATCCGTTTGTAACACCTATTCATTAACACCCTGTATATATATCAAAGTTAAAATAAATCTTAAATTTAAAAAACAAAATCCGATATTACATAAAAGGTTTTAATTAAACAGAAATATATACAATTACATAATTATCACAAAATATTTTAAAATTTATATAATTTACTAAATTAAATTATACAATGTTAGAATATTAGAACAGAGATAAAAATTAGCTTCTGATTAAAATATTACCAGTTAATTTGTGACACATAACTACAATATTTTGTTTCCAGTATAATACATTATTTATTTAAATTTATCCTGAACATAATTCAAATTGAGACTGAAGTTAAACTTGTGTTGATTTTCATACAGTATAGCTAAAATTTTTTTAGCTCTATTTTTTGGAAAATGCTTAAAATCTCTGTACAAATCTTCCTGAGTACTATGAACACATAGGTAACATTCTAATTCGACAACTGTATCAAACAATTCTATAATTTCATCTTTGAAATCGGAGACAATATATAAAATTTTTGTTAGAGGAAAAAATATATCAGAAATATAGTTTATATTTAACGTTTCTAATATATATTTTACAGCAGACATATAAAATATAATTTCATCGGTAACCGGCACAAGATTTTCTTCAAGACTAAACCAATTTAATAATTTAATAATTTCGTTAACAAATACATTTGAACAATTCCTAAATTCTATTATTAAATCATTAGTATCACACACTTCAATGTAAGCACAATAATTACTGACAGTTTCTAACATATATTTACAACATAACTGTTTATCTTTAGTGTCCAAACTAAATTCATCTAAATCATCAACGACCGATTTGTATGCCGTTAAACTTGATTTGATAATTTCTATGTTTATGAGACTCCTATCTAACTTAAAGTCACTCATCACTTCAGACAAACCTTCAAGTGACTTTGTCAGCAAATCGTTACTTGTAGAATTATTCAATATAAATATTAATTTATCAACTACATCTTTAGAAATAAACTGTAAATCATTATACATATGAGACAGTGCGATTATGAACCTAATAACTTGTATTAAAATTAAATGGTCGTCAGTATTTAATTCTCTTAATACAATGTTTACTTCATCTTCTGATATACTTTTCTTACAATCGCCACATAAAATATTTGCTAAAATTCCTATAACTATTTCAATAAATCGGTTTTCTGTGTACTTTTCCAAAGCGCTACAAGCTACAGTGGGAAATGATATTTCAAATAAGTATTTACATACATCCTTCTCAAGAGTCATGTCCCATAAAAAACACAAGTCTTCCTCCAAATCTTCATCCCATTTCAAATCGGAAAACTGCAATAAAGTCTTCAGCACAAATGACTGGCTATACAAAGTCTCCCCAATTGCATCTCCACGAAGCTTAGTATTAGTTTCTTCATCTAACTCGGAAACATTAACATTATTTGAAAGGAAATCTAAACCAGTTTTATTTTCACTTTCTTCATAATTATCCTTTTCCATTATATTAATATTTAATAAGCATTACTTTGACGACTTCAACGAAACTGAAAATCGATCATATAAAAATTAATATATCCCATGCATTATATCATTATATCGTTTAGTTTAGAACAAAATAAAATAATATTATTATATTATTAATGTTTTGTTACAGGTTAGAACCACAGACCATCATAACATAGAATAATATGTTGTGTGTGATTGGAGTTGTGCCGTGACCATAGCATTGCATATTGCATTGTACGCTCTGACCATAGTGGTGAAAATGTATGATGGGCATAATCGACCAATTTTGATAATCGAGTTATCGGTAATCGAGTACTTCTAATAATCGAGCGATCACTCGAGATACGAGATATTGGTCATTTTCATCCCAGCGGCGCATAAATATTATTGTTTGTATTAGTCATATATTACATATAAGCGTAGCTAAAAAAAAAAAAGCTCACGCACTTCAAAACCTAACCACTTTTTCGTTTTATTCTTAAAAAAAAAGGTTACGCAATCAGTGACTATTTGCAGTATGCACTAACATTTTGAGGTGCAACAGTAGGGTAATAATCACTCGAGTGGTGGGAGTAAACATCTCGAGATATCTCGAGTGATCTCAATAATCGACTACCACTCGATTTTTCACTCGAAATCTCCCATCACTAAGTTGGTGATTGAAATTGTGTGTCACAAAATATATAATAGATTGTGTGTAGTGGTGGTGATTTGTGTGATTGTTTTGGAGACAACGACCTTAAAGTTATAAATTGAAGTTTTCCTTAGTCACTACGTCCCTTATCCCGTTGTTAATATCGTTCTACGGCACTGCAGTATCAAATAATAAATTTAAGTGGAATATACATATACGAGTGCATACCATCTACCTTTCTATATTTATCTTGTTTATTTTAACAATGCTGAGGATTTTACGAAATCCGTTAAAAACTGTTCACTGCAACCCTTTTCGATGTTTTTCCACTGAAAAAAATTATGATGTTATCATAGTTGGAGGTGGCCATGCAGGCAGCGAGGCCTGTGCTTCGGCTGCTCGAATGGGAGCACACACTTTGTTGGTAACCCATAAGAAAGAAACAGTAGGTCAGTATTCAGTAATAACAATAATAAAAGTTTTATTTAATTAAAAAGGCTTATTACATTTTTAGGTGAAATGTCTTGCAACCCATCTTTCGGAGGAATTGGAAAGGGCCATTTGATGAGAGAAATTGATGCTTTGGATGGAGTATGTGGGAGAATATGCGACTTGTCCGGAATTCAGTACAAAGTAAGAGAATGTTTGTCACTTTTAGTTTTATTTAATTACTTACGTACATTGAAAGAAAATTTTGCACACTACAAGCTTGTTCATAACTACTCTTAATATTTTTAGCTCGTTTATTTTTACCTGCCAAGAATTTTAGTTTTGTTTTCATTATTCAAAAATTTAAAAATAACTCCTGACATCTTTTGTTTATTGTCGTACATAGACCTGTTGAAAACTGTTATTTTTATTTTTACAACTTGGAAATCGAACGAATGTTCATATATAAATGATACTATTGTAACTTAAAACAGGAATAATTTGTATTCAGGTTTTAAACACCAGAAAAGGACCTGCGGTTTGGGGTTACCGTGCCCAAATAGACAGGGATCTCTACAAGAAACATATACAAAAAGAACTGTTTGAAGACACACCTAATTTGGATGTGTTGGTAGCGCCTGTAGAAGACTTAATTGTAGAAAACCCCACTACAAACGCAAACCATCAGAGTTGTGTTACTTGTGGCGGAATAATTTTAAGTATGACGATTAATTTACCACGTTGGCCGCATATTAATCGAGATGTGTTTCAGATGATGGTACAAAGATAAGAGCAAAGAGCGTGGTAATAGCTACAGGGACGTTCTTAAAGGGCCAGATAAATATCGGCTTGGAGGTTTATCCCGCCGGACGAATTGGAGACGAACCGTCGATAGGTAACTGTCGTAATAATGCGAAATTTTAGATATTTCATGATTAACGATATAAATTTTAGGTTTGGCCAATACCCTGGAATCGCTAAACTTGAAAATGGGGAGACTGAAGACTGGTACTCCGCCGCGTCTGAAGGCAGAAACCATAGATTATTCCGTTTGTTCCGTTCAAAAAGGGGATATGCCGCCTCTTCCGTTTTCATTCATGAACGAAAGGGTTTGGATAAATGTATGTAGGTATACTTTTTCACAAACTAATAGAATGTGAGTTGAGTGAATGTAATTTTTCGAAACTTGTAAAACCATAAGTGTCTACTAGATTTTTTCAGCATTACAATAAGAGTTGATGAATTAACTCTTTAATAATAATATTGCTAAATATGTATAATACGTAAGTTTTATATTGTTGTATTTATAGTAAAACACAAAAAGTTTCTTCTCATCAAGCCACATTACACCTATAAAGAATGACGTTTTACACCAAATTGCCTTAAATATCTGTTTAATACTCGTTTACAGCCTAAGGACCAGCTGGACTGCTACTTAACAAAGACCTCACTAGGAATAGAAAAAATCGTCAAAGACAACTTGCAAGTGAATAGACACGTTATGGAGGAGATCACCGGCCCGAGATACTGCCCTAGCATAGAATCTAAAGTCCTACGTTTCCCCGGTAGAACGCACCAAGTCTGGCTAGAACCGGAAGGTTTGCACAGCGACATAATCTACCCCAACGGCCTGTCTTGTACTTTACCGGAAGAATTTCAATGGCAACTCATTCGGATGATGCCTGGGTTGGAGAAGGCGGAGTTGACGAGGCCCGGTTATGGCGTCGAATACGATTTCGTCGACCCGAGGGAGTTGCAGCCCAGTTTGGAAGTTAAACGAGTCGAAGGGTTGTTCTTAGCGGGACAGATCAACGGCACGACCGGGTATGAAGAGGCCGCCTCGCAGGGTATTATAGCCGGGATAAATGCAGCTGCGAAGGTAAACGTTACAATATTTTTATCCGTTAATCAAATTTCGCTGTTATAGTCTTTCCGAAGTCGGTTGAACATGTACAAAAATGCCTAGCAATAAAATTTTATAAAGTTTTTCTGCTAAAGGTAAAAAATAATTATTATTTGTTCATTTGGCCAACGATATATGTTTATTATTTATCTCCTCAAACAATTTTATTATATTGATGATAAATTTTGGTTAGACTTATCAAAAAACATTTACATTTTCATTAAAATATATTTCTGCTCGGCAACAACGCAATTTATCGTTAATCACCTCTAAAGTTGGTACTTTATGTTTTTTATATAAATTATAAATTGTCCGCCGAATTACGTCTCTCGTCATATCATCGATATTTTAAAATTTTTTTTCGCTTCCTCTTTACGCAATGGTCCATAACATCTTGTTTAATAACACGAAAATATTTAAAATGTTTCAAATCTGTTTCATCAACTACTGATTCCACTAATTCAATATTGTCTGGCGGTATTTCATTTTGATCCGTTCAAAAGGTCTCCAAAATTACCTGAATCATACCAAATCCTACATTGCTGCACTGCACTGCTAGGCAATTTGTCAACAACTGAAATTTATGGTCCAGTCGCCCAGTGCGGCTGTGTTCGTGCGCCGTTTGCCCACGCGCACACTTTTCAACTGGGTGGGTATATACATTTCTACCACCACTATGTTTAGTTCGACTAGACCTGTATGGCTAAATAAATACGGGAACAAGTTTTTCAAATATTTGAATGTCAAGTTGTTGCGTAGCGACCGAACCTGGTACATACTGCCTAGTTCTTTGGTCTTCAATTGAGATCGGAAAGACTATACCACCTAGATGTTAAAGCTCCAACACTTCGTATGTGACATCACTTCACTGGTGATAGTTATGTCATATTTATCTAACGGGATGTTGAATAAGTACTTGCTGTTTTATCGTGACAATTAATGCTTTATTTATAAAAATTAGTAAGACACATGTTACTGACAGTATTACTTTCCCATCTTTCTGGCAGCATTTCAATTGCACGCCGAAAGAATAGCACAATTATGCAAAAGTCGACCCATTCTTTGGCATCTTCATAGAAATAGAAATGCTGCTCATCCGGGCCATGTGCCATCGATCGGAACAAGTAATAATCGGAAGGGACAATGTGGTGAATATGGCGGGTGGGGTAGAACTTCCCATTTAAGCATTTCCAAGTAGGTTATTGACGTATGTCCGGACTTATCCCACCATTTTCTTAAGATTATCGTAGCATATCCACTTTTCAATGCCAGTCTCAATACCATGCAAAAAAAACCTTTCTTCCTTGCTTCTGAATCATAATGCTTCCGAATCTTTTCAAACTATTGCGTGATCAACTCCTAATGATTCTGCAACTTCAGCTGGTGTCTGACGTGAGTCTTTATGAAGTAATCTCTCTATTTCTTCATCTTCAAACCGTTTTGGTGTGCCAGAACGTTCTTTATCTTCAACATCAAAATAATAATTTTTGAAGGGTCTAAATTCTAAACTCAAAACCAATCTCTGCCTCGTCGCTGTAAGTCAACGAAAATTATGTATTCCAGATTTTTTTTTAATAAAATAGTGCATGGAAATTCCCCGTAAATACTCTTTTAACACTATGAAAAAAGTAGTCTACATTTTGGTGAAATAACACACTGGATATCGAGCTTGCTTATACCACTTTTTTATAGCTGCGTTACCATCTTAGACACATGCAATTCTGGTAACGGCATCTTTTGGAAAATAGCGTCCCATTATTTTAAAAATACAGTGATATTGAATAGAAATAAAATATGTTTTATTTCATAGTTATTGCAGATAGTTATTAAGAAAAATAAAACTGATACACACTGTGTTTAAAGGGAGGTGAAGAACTGAATTTTTTCAGTGTGGGTGAGATATAACCTATAAGTTATATGTCTGAACTGTCACTGTTACTCAATGCCTACTGCCGTAAAACATGGCTTTGCATCTATTGGCAGAGAGCAACCTACTAATTTGTAGGTACTATGGGAGAATGACAACTAAATGAACTTTTTAACTAATAATATGGGAAACAACTACTCTGCTGGCTAAAAGCCAATAGATAATTTCAGACAATATAAAATAACTGTTATTACACATTACCTCGTTAAATACCGTTTGTTTTTTGTGAGTAAACCTTTTTACATGCCATTGACTATACTGTACAGTTGACTAAATTGTAGTAATTGGATAAATATTTTTCAAAAATTTTTTAAACGTCGCTCTAATTATTATTATTATACCAACAACGTATGTCTGACTTATGTTATTTACAATTAACAATCGACTAAACCATTGATAGCGACGTCACTAGGTATTAGATACGAGCTCTTACATTATGGTTGACGTTAATTTTGTCCATTCTCTACTCTAAAATAAGTTCTGGTCCAAAACATGCTTGAAATCCATTCGTTTCAGGCTTTAAATACCCCGCCGCTAATATTAAGCCGAACGGAGGGCTACATCGGCGTAATGATAGACGACCTGACGACAGCAGGGACCACTGAGCCGTACAGGATGTTCACGAGTCGGGCAGAGTTCAGGTTAACGCTGAGGCCAGATAACGCCGATCAAAGACTGACGCCTAAAGGTTACGCCGTTGGTTGCGTTTCGAAAGCACGTTACAATAAAACCGTAGAGGTCGAGCAGAAAATTAGAGATGGCGTCGCTTTATTAAAAAGTGTCAGCAAGAGCGTCAGCCAGTGGAGGAATCAAATTGGAATTTTGCCTTCCAGAAGTAATTTACAAAAGAGGTTTGTTCATTTCTCGCAAATGTAATAGTTAAATTATTTATTATTAATTTTTTTCGTAATTTTCGTATGTTTTATTTTGTAATTTTGATTTGAATTTTTTTTTTATCCTACAAATAATTCCCTTTCAGCGCCTTCGACATGGTCGATATAAAAAATGAAAAAATCACGATAACTATGCTGGCGCAGGCTGCGCCGGAATTGCTCCCATTAACTTACGACTCTTCGTTGGAGAACAGGCTCCACATCGAAGCGTTGTACGAATCGGCTGCCGCGGAACAGGTTGAGGAAGTCCGAGAGGTCCGAAGAGACGAAGCGCTAATTATACCTAAAGACTTGGATTACAATTCTGATTCTCTAAATCTCAGTTTCGAAGAGAGGGAAAAGCTTTTGGCAGTGCAGCCGCAGACGGTAAGTTGTTTTTGTTGGGTGTTCACGTTTGCCCTAACCGTGAAGTATTTTTTTTTGCAGATAGCGGCGGCTAGCAGAATACCCGGTGTTACGCCTTCATCGGTTTTTCGACTACTTCGATTCGTTAAACAAAAACACGATCTGACTGAAACTGCTTCTGTATAATTGCCTTTATCGATTTATGATATGTATTTATATTTTAATAAATCTCTTTTGCATATACTTACAGTTCGTAGTACCTATTTATTTCTTTTTTTGGGTCTGTAAGAGGACAATAAAAAATAACAAATTTTCTAAATGAATAATTATGTCTTATTAAGGAAGTAGTAAAAAAGGAAAAAACGTGGACGGTTGAAGAAAAAAATAAGAAAGATCGTAGAAGTGCAAATAAAAAATCGTAATGAAAATTTTTATTAAAATGTATATTTAACCTTTGATCTAAACGAACCCAAACCCAATTTAAGTGAAAGAAAGATAAACTAACATAAAACATGCTACTGACAAACAAATTTAACATAAGATTCTTAAAGAAGCGAACTACATCAATCTTCGAACATATGCAGTCACTTGCCTGCGCGAGAAAGTTGATACACTAACTATCTCTCTCACTCTGTAACTCGTCTACACTGTCGCCGTAAGCGTGTTCCCTCCATGTAGTACATATATGCTCTCATAATTATCAACGTGATGGATTTCTTAGAACCAATAAGAGATTAGAATTTTTAAACAGACCAATAGTAATACCACAATATTCCCTATCAAATAGCAGCCAATTGCATCGTCGTATATTTAAAGTCAAACAATTTAGTGTCTAGTTCTCAAATCATGATCACAAAGTTGCAGCCATAGACCACCTACAGCTAAAAGTATTTGAATCACAGTGTGCGTTTCATAATAAGTGTAGCTAAAAGTAATTTAGAGTTACTCTGAACTGATATTAGTTGCTAATAGGTACTATTTTTGTCAAAACGAAAGCCCCCAGTGTGTTCATTCTTCACTAGGTTTGTTCACCATAGAAAAATATAGTACTAAGTATAGTACTATATTTTCTGTTTGTTCACTTATTTCCCAAGCAGGTTGCCAACTCCCTGATCTTGGCCAACTCCTTTTTAACTTTTAACAAATATATTTAGTACGTTTCACTGAACCGAGCGAGCAAAGCTAATTAACGGATCCACGTCTTTTCTCATTTATTCTTATCCTTTTTAGTTTTTTTCTCCTCATTCATTGTTCAGTGATTCCAGCAGAAATCGTAATTTCGAATTTGGGTTCAGCGGGAGCGGTTCACAATGTGTTCTGTGGTCTGACCTGACAAACGCGATTTTTAAGCTTCCGGCAGCCATATTGCAGGTATATTTGTAGAAATTGGTATAAATTTCTACGAATAATCTGCGCTAAAAAGTGTAAAATAACGCTGTGCTAAGTTAAATGTGAAGAAAAAGTGATAGTGATCAGATTTACTAATGGCTCGATACGGGCAAAGACCTGAAAACGCTTTAAAGCGTGCAAATGGTAAGATGCTTGTACACGTACATATGGTCGATTGTATGTTATCAATTATTCCTTTTTACAGAATTTATCGAAGTTGGAAAACCAGCAAGAGCTCTAGATACCTTGCAGGAAGTATTTCGCAATAAAAAATGGGCTTACAATTGGTCAGAATCGGTGCTGGAACCGATTATGTTCAAATATCTGGATCTTTGTGTGGAACTGAAAAAGTCCCACATTGCGAAAGAAGGTCTGTTCCAGTACAGGAATATGTTTCAGTCGGTCAATGTAGGATCCTTGGAGAATGTTATCCGAGGATATCTTCGTATGGCCGAAGAGAAGACGGAAAATGCAAGGGAACAGTCTGCACAAGCTGTCATAGACATAGACGATCTTGATAATTTGGCCACCCCAGAAAGCATACTTTTAAGGTAAAAACAAAATTAATGAAATCGTACTGTATTAACTGTATTTTACACAGCGCTGTGTCTGGGGAAGATGCTCAGGATCGTTCTGACCGTACCATCCTCACCCCTTGGGTGAAGTTCTTGTGGGAGTCTTACTGCCAATGCTTGGAATTACTCAGGACCAACGCCCACGTCGAAAACCTTTATCATGATATAGCTAGGATGGCTTTCCAGTTTTGTCTGAAATACAACAGAAAAACGGAATTTAGAAAACTGTGCGATAAGCTCCGTAAACATCTCGAGGATATTTGCAAGCTTCCAGCTCAAGTCGCCAATGTGTCCATGTCGAAACCAGAAACTCAACAACTTAATCTGGAAACGAGACTTCACCAGCTCGATTTCGCCATACAAATGGAATTGTGGCAGGTAAATAAACTTACACGACTTTATGAGCGTATAGTTTAATGTATTTTGTATTATAATTTCAGGAAGCCTATAAAGCGATCGAAGACATACACAACTTGATGAACCTTTCGAAGAAAATGCCCGTACCGAAAACTATGGCCAATTATTACCAAAAATTGGCCATGGTGTTCTGGAAAGCGGGTAATTACCTTTTCCACGCTGCTGCTTTATTTAAACTTTTCCAGTTGTCGAAGGAAATGAAGAAGAACATCACGCCAGAGGAATTGCAAAGGTATTTATTATTTTTCTTTGCTTGTATGTTAACAAAATTTTTTTCAATTTTGCAGAATGGCTTGTAGAGTATTAATCGCGACTCTAGGTATTCCATTGCCTTCTGCGCATCCAGAGTTTGATAGATTCATTGAAACTGATAAGTCTCCTTTGGAGAAAGCCCAGCGACTTGCTGTATTGTTGGGTTTGTTCCAACCACCCACCAGAGTCAGTCTTCTGAAAGATTTGGTATGTTTGTTATTTCGTTACTACCTAGATTATAAGATCTTGACGAATCATGTGTGAAGTCACTTCGACAAACATGTCTATCCGAAATTTAATGGCCAACATTATGGAAATAAAATTACTGGTTATGTGGCTTGTAAACATTTATGAATGCTCGGTTTGAATTGCCACGATATTTTGTCCCATTCGCAATTTGAATCCAGTTTGATTTTTTGAAATATCTTCTAAACAAAGTTTCAAAAGGGATCTAGCTAGTAAACATATAATTTTTCATGAAGAAACTTCAATAAACACGTTAAAATAACATTAGAAAATAATCCTACCCTTTCGAAATTCAGTTTCGCGATGCACCGATGAAAATAAGTTTGTAGGTGGAGCTTCTGAGCTTTGTGGCACGGATCCGCCTATGAAATTTTTATATTAACACATTTGAATGTCTAACTCGTCACAGATTTTAACGATAATTTAGAATTCTTCAATTCTTATGATAGTAATAGACTGAAACAGGCCCTGATAACAGAAAACGGTTAAAACACCTTCAAAATGCTCCCAACGTACAAAAATTGTTTTGACATTTTTATAATTTGTCTCGATTTTTTTCTAAACTTCAAATACACTTCAGGCATCTCGCAAAAATCGACGATTTATTTATTTATTTTATTTTTTCAAGCAAATAGAATAAACAGAAATTTTGAATAAACTAAAAAAGATACTTATAAAAGTAAAAAATTATAATATGAGTTGCTAACTCTGAGATCTTGAAAAGAGTAGCACATACAGGGTGTCGCGCTTAAATATGATACAAGCCTGTAACTTCTTTACTTTTTGGCCGATTTCAAAAATTTTTATTTAGGAATTAATGCAATTCAAGGCCAATTAGGACGTGTTTTCTTGACATAAAAACAGCTGATTGGTATTGGCGATTTTTTTTCCAAAAAACAGATTACGTATTCTCTTTCAGCATCCTTTAAAACGTCTTACCACCAAGTTTCATCAAAATCGATACATCTTCAGGCGAGCACTCCATAATGTGAAATGTAATACAAGCCTATAACTTTTTTATTTTTTGCAGTTTTTTATTAATGCAATACACGGCCACCTAGTGCTCGTCTGAAGATGTATGGAATTTTATGAAACTTGGCGATAAGACATTTTAAATACGTAATCAGTTTTTTTGGAAAAAAAATCGCTAATACCAAACAACTGTTTTGACGTCAAAAAAAACGCGTCCTAATTGGCAGTGAATTGCATTAATAAAAGCAGCATTGCAGTTAGATAGTTTTTTTATCCTACATTCTAAAAAAAAAAAATTTTGAAATTGGTCAAAAAACAAAAGCTACAGGCTTGTATCATATTTAAGCGCGACACCCTGTATATTTGCAATTTTTTTTTTTTCTCATAATCAAGATACAATTTTTTAGTAAAATATATTTTTTTTCATATTGATTTTTTTTTTAAATTCTAATGTTCTCTGTGTTGGCCTAATTAGATTATAAAAGCTGAAAACTCCAGTCAAATTAGAGTCTGAACGTGAAAAAATTATTAGTAGACCTTTTTTTGCACTTTATGACGAGGAAAGGTATGTAGAATGATAATATCAAAAGAGTAACTCAAAAGAAGTGATGCTGAGTTGGAAAATAGCAAATAGGTGGCAAATTTAATTTTTTTTTCAGTTTTGTAACTGCCCATGAAAATCTAGACGACCTATCGGAATATTAGTAATTTTATGTTGTAGGCAATTAAATTACCTACAATTTAAGGTACTTAAAGTCATATTTCACCAATTTGTTAACTGTAAAATAAAGGTCAAACGCGGAAAAATCAGTTTTCAAAAATTGCTCTTTATTATTACAAATAGCGATGGATGTTTATGAAATTTTTGGAAAAGACGATCAATCAATGACCAACATGTGTGCAAATCGCCATTTGTATTCACCATAAAATTGTTGCTTCAACTATTTGTTAATTAATTTTGTTTGTTTTTTTGCAACTAACTGTTTAAATACTAAACGTTAATTTTAGAAGTTAATATCGTAGATATAGATTGCAATTGATCCAAAGAAATGTATCAAGACAGCATCATAAACAAATTATTCCAATGTTGGGCAAAATCCGCTCGAGAATTCGTTTTTTTGCATAATAAATAATATATATATATATATATATATATATATATTTCTTCCAATGCAATGTACCC